CCAGGAGTTCGAGTATGTGTTGAAGCCGTTGAAAGGATTACCACCATCTCTTTATGATCCTTTCACGATTGAGTTGGACCCCGATACAACTTCGTTATCTAAGGCTCTGTACCGGATGGCTCCAACGGAGTTGGCTGAGCTGAAAAAGCAGTTGGAGGATTTTCTGAGTAAGGGTTTCATCCATCCCAGTTTTTCATCCATCCCAGTGTTTCACCATGGGGAGCATTAGTGTTGTTAGTGAAGAAGAAGGATAGGATTTTCCGACTGTGCATTGATTACCAGGGATTTAACCGAGTCACGGTGAAGAACAAGTATCCTTTATCCCGGATTGATGAGATGTTGGACCATTTGAGAAGAGCTACGTGGTTCTCAAAGATTGATTTGGCGTCGGGGTACCATCATATTCCTATTGACGGAGGCAGATATTTGTAAGATGGCGTTCATGACGAGATATGGACATTATGAGTTTGTGGTGATGCCTTTCGTGTTGACCAATGCACCAGCGGCGTTCATGAGGCTGATGAACAGCGTATTCCAGGAGTTATTGGATGAGTTTGTTATGAGGTTCACGGTGTTTGGTGTCTGAGGAGTTCGTTTCACCCTTGTTAGCCCCTGTTCGTCGTTGTTCTTTCTTGTTTAAGAGGTGAGTGCAGGGCCTAGGCCTATCTGAGCTGTTTGATTCATGTTTTGGTTAGTTATATGGTTGTTGATTGATTTTCTTTGGTTGTATGCGTGTTCTTGTGTTATGGTGCCTCTGGACGAGCCTTATGGAGTGGTTACACAACCTTCGAGGGTTTGGAAAGGCGGATCCTTTGATGAGAAGCGACAGAAGTAGTGTTAGGGCATCAGTGTCGATCCACTCCAGTGGTTTGTGTCGATCGACACCAATCTTCTGTATCGTGAGGATGGTCGCGAGTGTCGATCGACACTACTCGTCATAACGTAATTTTGTGTTTTTTTTTGTCCTCTTTCTGATTTTGGATGTTGCTTGAATGTAAATTATACTGCTTGAATGTAAATTATACTGCTTGTGTGTATAGCGAGTTGTGGGGATGAATGCCTCACTAAATATTAATGAAATACTTATGCATCTCTTTTCAGTGATGCATGTAAAGGAAAAGTGTGATCCGTGGAATCATGGCGAGGAGAGGAGGATAATCTAGGGGTCATTGGTTGTCTTTGGAATAATGTTTGAACTGTTAAGATGTAAGCCGGGAATTTAGAAACATGTTAGGTTGTTATTTCTATTTCTGGATGATGACTCGTTTGGTTATGGTTGAAATGTTGGTTTAATGCAATTGAATTATTTGGATTATTTGGTTAAGTCTTCCGCTGGTTAATGCTGATTGAAATTGGTTTATTTATGAGCATATGGTTTAATTTTTTGTCTGGTTTAACTGATTTGTTCGGTTTAATTGGTTTAAATTGATTAGGACAGGTATAGGTGGTTTAGTTGATTTAAATTGGTTAGGACCGGTTTAGCCGGTTTGAGTTAATTGGGTTAATCCGGTTTGCATGCTTTTAAAAAAAACGGGTTGGGTCTTTTCAAAATCGCACTCTCACTTTTCTAATTGTATTTGTTTAGTCTTTTTAAAATAAATGATATATTGTGTTTTCTCAGTTTTAAGTCTTTAAGTCTTTATTATAAATTTTATTTTCTCTTTCGAGGCTAACATCCTAACAGTTCAAATATAGGTCTTTTTTACAGTCTGTTATTCCATCATAGAGTCTTTACAGGTTTTAAGTTGCTTTGGAATATAATGAGCCGTTTTGGGATGCAAACACACATTTGGAGATGTAGATTCATGTAGAAGTGTTAGATGTTTGGACTCATATGGACTATTTTCAACCCTTAGATCTTTCTCAAATTTTCACAGAAGATGGAAACGGATGTGAGCTTTCATTTTCAATTTATTTTGAGAAAATCTAACGGTTCATTTAAGAGTTATACCCGATTTACTGGAGACAGGTAATTATGACGAGTAGTTGAAGCAGATGCATCATTAAAAGCTGAGAGTGTCAGACCGATCGATCTATATTTGGACAGATCGATATCTTACCTTGCATGCAATGTTTGGCCCATATTCGATCTGAAACACTATAGAACTGACCCAACTCGTCTCCTATTTTCAGTTCTAAACATTGTTCTTTCCTTTCTAAACAATTTGGGGAAAATAATCCATCCTCTTGACACTTGGAGATTATTTTTAACCCTTTCTTATTATTTAAGCTATTTCATAATGTTTTCTTTCATATTTATTTGGGAAAAAAGCCGAAAAATACGCCATCTATTTTTTATTTGGATGTTTAATACCCCGTCTTTTTTTATTGGAACAAATATACCTCGTTTATTTAACGTTGTCTTAGAAAATATTCGTTTATATACTCGTTAGTAGATTCCTACCTTACAGTTAACAGCCGTTTACTAGGATGACGGTATCAAATAACGGAGTTAGATTTTAATTCGACGTGTTTAACTGATATATATTACTTGGTTACAAATATGTACGAAAGAATTGTTGTGGCCTGTTGGTCACATGCTTCCTTTTGTACTCACGGGTTCAGAGTTTGATTCCCTGCCAAACCCTTTTTTTTTTCTTCTTCTTCTTCTCCATTTTTGCTCTGAAACAGATCATAGATCGATTTTTAAAAAAGTTGACAGAAGTTTTCTCTAGCCAAGGCGTTCTCATAATCGAGAGAGTGAGATATGTCGATCTAGATCTACGACAAGAAATTTTAAAATCAACCTTCTCGAAAGATAGGAATTGAGATCTGTGGCTTAGGTTTAGAACTAGACAAATTAAACGAATCCGCATGAAGATTGGCACCACAAAAGTTACTAGAAATGTTTTTTCTGGTATACAGCAAAAGAAAACCATTAGAGAGAAGTTCTGATCTGTTCAGTGGTGACAACGGAGAAGAAGAAGAAGAAGAAAAAAAAAAAGAGAAGTTCTGATCTGTTCAGTGGTGACAACGGAGAAGAAGAAGAAGAAGAAAAAAAAAAAGGTTTGGCAGGGAATCGAACTCTGAACCCGTGAGTACACAAGGAAGCATGTCACCACCAGGCAACAACAATTCTTTGGTACATATTTTTTAACCAAGTCATTTATATCAGTTAAACACGTCGAATTAAAATCTAACCCCGTTATATGATACCGTCACCCTAGTAAATGGCTGTTAACTGTAAGGAAGGAATCTACTAACGAGTATATAAACGCTTATTTTTTAAGACAACGTTAAATAAACGAGGTATATTTGTTCCAATCAAAAAGATGGGGTATTAAATATCCAAATAAAAAATAGATGGCGTATTTTTCGGCTTTTTCCCATATTTATTTGCTTTTATTCAATTGTTATGTGTGAGCAGTCTTCAATTTGGTTTTAGGCTTCTAAGTAGAAAATTCAATGAATTTGTGGATTGGTTACATGTTCTCAATGCTAGAATATGATTGATCACCCTGGTTTAGAACTTAGGCTTTTATTTGTTTCAGAGATGTTCGATGAAATGACTGAATGAGTGATTGAACATTGTATTTCTAGCCTGCGAGAGTTGATGTAAGAATGCATTGTGAACGAAATGAACCTATTCGATAATGCGAATTTCACTAAGAAATTACAAATGGGAGTTTTGTAATTGAAAAGTTGTGATTAATGTCTTGAGAGAGAATTAATCAGAAATTTTGTTCATGTTTAAGAACGGTTCTTCATGCATTAATCTTTTTTACATTTATTAGCTAGTCATTGTTCTTTGAAATACTATGCCGCTCAATGTCTTTAATTCATAAGTTTAATCTCTTTTATTTGCATTTTTATTTCCAATTTTGAAAACAGAACAAACAACCTTTTCGCTTTAGCTAAGAACGAATCTCATAAGTCTTTAGAGTACCTTGGCTCTATGTTATCGATCTCGCATATATTTGCTTTTGGTTAAGTTATCGGGTTAAAAACTCGACCAATCAATATATCTTATATTTTACATAAGTAATAATTGAGAAGACTGATAAATAATTCTGAACTTATTTTATCATAAAATATTTATGAATGTATACAATTATATAGGTCAATTAAACTCTTAAATAATATTAGATTCAATATAAAATGAAATAATTTTGAAAACCATTAAATAACCTATTGAAGAATTGTGAATATATAAGGTTTAATCCAAAATTCTCATGTCAAGTTGCACATAATATAATAAATAATTTATCAAAAAGAGAGAGTAAAATATCAACATCTTCAAAACAAAGCGATCTTGATGCATATTGAAAAACTTGGTAATTACAGGCTCAACGTATTGATGCCATAAAGTAATGTAAAACCAAAATTTTATATCTATAAATTTAATTAATATATGAGTAAATTGATAAATTAGTAAGGAAATCAATTACACTAAAAAATGTTTATGACAAATCATTTGATATGATCATAACATGCGATTTTCTAGATCCGTAAGAAGTTATCGCTTTTAAAAATATTTGATAATAATAAAGAATTCAATCTATGTCATATATATATATATATATATATTTGTCTTGCCCTTTGAAATTTCTTTTTTCCTGTCTAGTCTAGGTTTATAACTTTTGGTAGATAATTTTAAACAATTTTTTTTTATTGGTATGAATCTTTGATTTAAACGTATTGAGCTAAAAAATGAAGGCAATGGTTATAGTTTATTTACATTTCCAAAAAAACTTATAAATATGAAAAATGGGTATTTCAATTTTAAGAACAAGAAATCATAGAAAACATTGTTGAATTATACATTATATATTATATTTTAAATCATTCAACATTAACATGTTGCGCTTAATGAGTATTTTGAAAATCATTTTCATAATCTAGTTGTAAAAAAACTTAAAGGTATATACTTGCACAATAATTAATTTGCTATTATTCCTTTAAATCTTTTTTAAAGAAAAGATAAATATTACAGGTAATAAAAAATTGAACAACAAAGAAATATCAATTTAATTGGTCCAAATAGTATAAGCAATACATATTTAAAGAGTTTTAGAGATTGAGACACAATGATTCCATACTTCATCTCTCTTCTTCAGATATTTTGTTTCATGGGCAATTAAACTAGGTCTGTCCGCAATATATTTTATAAGTGTATCGTGACACAATTTTCCTTCTTTGACGAGATCGCTGCAACAAAGATCAGAGAGCGTTCCATTTCCGAAGACAACCGCGATTATATTCAACGCACACTTAGGAGTGATTTTCACAAGACAAGTATCCCATAATGTTTTTACTTCCCCTTCATCGACTGAAAAAACCGGAACAAACGCACACACCAAAGCTACAACAATGAATAGCAAAGAAACCTGAGCGCTAAATTTAGACATATTTTCGTTTCCTAAAATTAGCTTGCTTGAGTTTTCCTTTTTCGTAACGAACAGTGTATTGTATTTCTTATTAATATTAAGTTAGGCTAGCTCTTTATAGATCATTGAAAACTTAACGTAACCAAAACCAAATACAAAAACTACAACGTTAGCGCAATAAATTTAGGACATTAAAATGTTTTTTCAAATAAATATATCACAAACTTCAAACTTAATAGTTTTAAAAAATTTTGAATTTTGAAGGAAAAATATCAATGTAACTTCGGATATCAGTTTCAATAAAAATTATTGGTGATACTATGGCATTTTGAAATGCTACAACAATTTCTTGAATATGTGGTTCAAATTTGATTTGCATAGGTATCTACGAAAAAAAACAAAAGTTATATAATTTAGATCCATTTATGTTTTGAATTATCTTAATTTAAAAAATCACAGTTTCTCCCTTTTCTAATTGTATATGTTTAGTCTTTATTTTCTCTTTCATGTTATTAATTTTATTGAGCCAAATATTTTTAACAGTATTTTAGTCCATTATAGAGTCTTTACAGGTTTTAAGAGTTTTTGGAATAAAACGAGCCGTTTTGGGATGCTGAAACACATTTAGAGATATAGATTAAGATATGATCATAAAATGCAATTTTCTAGATCCATAAGAAGTTATCGCTTTTAAAAATATTTAATAATAATAAAGAATTCAATATATGTCATATATATATATGTCTTGCCCTTTGAAATTTCTTTTTTCCTGTCTAGTTTAGGTTTATAACTTTTGGTAGATAATTTGAAACAATCTTTAGGTATTGGTATAAAGCTTTGATTTAAAGGTATTGAGCTAAAAAATGAAGGCAATGGTTATAGTATATTTACATTTCCAAAAAAAACTTATAAATATGAAAAATGGGTATTTCAATTTTAAGAACAAGAATTCATAGAAAACAATGTTGAATTATACAAAATTCAAAATACTTTTAAATCAATATATACATATTATATTTTAAATCATTCAACATTAACATGTTGCACTTAATGTGTATTTTGAAAATCATTTTCATAATCTAGTTGTAAAAAAACTTAAAGGTATATACTTGCACAATAATTCATTTGCTATTATTCCTTTAAATCTTTTTTAAAGAAAAGATATATATTACAGGTAATAAAAAATTGAACAACAAAGAAATATCAATTTAATTGGTCCAAATAGTATAAGCAATACATATTTAAAGAGTTTTAGAGATTGAGACACAATGATTCCATACTTCATCTCTCTTCTTCAGATATTCTGTTTCATGGGCAATCAAACTAGGTCTGTCCGCAATATATTTTATAAGTGTATCGTGACACAATTTTCCTTCTTTGACGAGATCGCTGCAACAAAGATCAGAGAGCGTTCCATTTCCGAAGACAACCGCGATTATATTCAACGCACACTTAGGAGTGATTTTCACAAGACAAGTATCCCATAATGTTTTTACTTCCCCTTCATTGACTGAAAAAACCGGAACAAACGCACCAACCAAAGCTACAACAATGAATAGCTAAAAACCTGAGCGCTCAATTTAGACATATTTTCGTTTCCTTAAATTAGCTTGCTTGAGTTTTCCTTTTTTCGTAACGAACAGTGTATTGTATTTCTTATTAATATTAAGTTAGGCTAGCTCTTTATAGATCATTGAAAACTTAACGTAACCAAAACCAAAAACAAAAACTACAACGTTAGCGCAATAAATTTATGACATTAAAATGTTTTTTCAAATAAATATATCACAAACGTCAAACTTAATAGTTTTAAAAGTATCAATGTAACTTCGGATATCAGTTTCAATAAAAATTATTGGTGATACTATGGCATTTTGAAATGCTACAACAATTTCTTGAATATGTGGTTCAAATTAGATTTGCATAGGTTCTACGAAAAAACAAAAGTTATATAATTTAGATCCATTTATGTTTTGAATTATCTTAATTTAAAAAATCACAGTTTCTCCCTTTATTAATTGTATATGTTTAGTCTTTTTAAAACAAATGATATATTGTGTTTTTCTCGGTTTAAAGTCTTTATTTTCTCTTTCATGTTATTAATTTTATTGAGCCAAATATTTTTTAACAGTATTTTAGTCCATTATAGAGTCTTTACAGGTTTTAAGTATTTTTGGAATAAAACGAGCCGTTTTGGGATGCTGAAACACATTTAGAGATGTAGATTCATCTAGAAGTGTCAGATTTTTGGGATCATATGGACTATTTCAACCGTTAGATCTTTCTCAAATTTTGACACAGGTTGGAGACAGATGTTAGCTTGCATTTTCAATTTACTTTGAGAAAATCTAACGGTTAACTTAAGAGTTATACTAGATTTACTGGAGACAGGTAAATCTGACGAGTAGTTGAAGCAGATGCAGAACTAAATGCTAAGAGTGTCAGACCGGTTGATCTGTATATGGACTGATTGATCCCTTACCTCGCATGCATTATCTGGCCCATGTTTGATCTGAAACACTTTTAGAACCGACCCAACTCGTCTCCTATTATTTTTAAACCCTAGGCTCGACTATTTTGCAGCTATCTTTCATAATTTCAGTTCTAAACATTTCTCTTTGCTTTCTAAATAATTTGGGGAAAATAATTCATCCTCTTGACACTTGGAGAAGATTTGTGAACCCTTTCTTCTTATTTAAGCAATTTTCTAATGTTTTCTTTCATATATATTTGCTTTTATTCAATTGCTATGTGTGAGTAGTTCTTCGATTGGGTTTTAGGAGTCTAATTAGAATATTCAATAAATTAGTGGATTGATCTCTTCAATGGATTCTATGGTTCTTCAGTTTACATGTTTTCAATGCTAGAATAGGATTGATCACCCTGTTTTAGAAATTAGGCTTTTATTTGTTTCAGAGATGTTCGATGAAATGAATGAATGAGTGTTAATTGAGCATTGTATTTCTAGCCTGCGAGAGTTAATGTTAGAATGGATTCTTAACGAAATGAACCTATTCGATAATGGGAAATTGACTAGGAAATTACCAATGAGAGTTTTGTAATTGAATAGTTGTGATTAATGTCTTGAGAGAGAATTAATCTGGAATTGTG